AACAAATAATCAGGGACCAAGCGGGCCAAATTGAGGTGTTCAAATTTATTTTTAAACAACTGAAAGGCTTTGTCAGCTAAGTGGACCGATTTCATTTTTTACCGTAAGAGCATGTTATCGAGGAGTTTCGACAAATCTCTCTCTCTTTCTTTCTCTCTCTCTCTCTTTCTCTTTCACTCTCTCTTTCTCTCTCCTCTATCTCTTTCTCTCTCTCACTCCCTCCCTCTCTCTTTTTCTTTCTTTCTTTCTTCTTCTTTCTACTTTCTTTTGACATTTTCTTGTCTTAGCTCAGGCACATAACCAAAAAAGCGTTATCAAATAAGCGTAACGAAAAAAGAAATGAAGAGAGAAAGAAATAATAAGAGAGAGTGAAAGAGAGAAAGAGAGCAAGAAAGAGAGAGAGAGAGAGAGAGAAAGAAAGAGAGAGAGAGAGACTCTCTTTCTCTCTCTATCTCTTTCACTCTCTCTTTCTTTCTTTCTCTCTTTCTCTCTCTCTCTCTTTCTCTCTGTCTTTATTTCTCTTTCTCTCTCTCTCTCTTTTTCTTTCTCTCTCTCTCTCTTTCTTTATTTCATTTCTTTTTTCGTTACGCTTTTTTTGTGTCAGAGCTAAGACATGAAAATGTCAAAAAAAAGTAGAAAGAAGAAGAAAGAAGAAATGAGAAGAAAGAAAAAAAAATAAAGAAAGAAAAAGAGAGAGAGGGAGTGAGAGAGAGAAAGAGTTAGAGGAGAGAGAAAGAGAGAGAAAAAGAGAGATAGAAAAACTAGAAAAACTAGAAAAACTTTTCTATGTTTTCTAATTTTTATAGTTTTTATAGTTTTAAAGAAAAAAAAAAAAAAAGAAACAAACAAACAAACAAAGAAAAGAAAGAAAGAAAGAAAAGAAAGAAAGAAAGAAAGAAAGAAAGAAAGAAAGAAAGAAAGAAAGAAAGAAATAAAAGAATGAAAGAAACAAACAAAGAAAAAGAAAAAAACGTCTTGGTTTCTTTGTTTATTTCTTTCTTTTCTAGTTTTTCTAGTTTTTCAGGTTTTTCTAGTTTTTCTAGTTTTTCTAGTTTTTCAGGTTTTTCTAATTTTTCTATCTTTTCTAGTTTTTCTAGTTTTTCTAGTGTTTCTAGTTTTCTAGTTATCTAGTTTTTCTAGTTTTTCTATCTTTTTTAGTTTTTCAGGTTTTTTTAGTTTTTCAGGTTTTTTTAGTTTTTCTAGTTTTCCTAGTTTTCTTGTTTTTCTAGTTTTTCTAGAAAAGTTAGAACAACTAGAAAATCTAGAAAAACTAGATAAACTAGAAAACCCTAAAAAACTAGAAAAACTAGAAAAACTAGAAAAACCTGAAAAACCTGAAAAACTAGTTAAACTAGAAAAACTAGAAAAACTAGAGAAACCTGACAAACTAGAAAAAATAGAAGAGATAGAAAAGTTTTTCTAATTTTTCACTAATTTTTCTAGTTTTTCAGGTATTTCTAGTTTTTCTAGTTTTTCTATCTTTTCAAGAAAAAATAGAAAAACTAGAAAAAATAGAAAAGTTTTCCTAGTTTTTCTAGTTTTTCTGTTTTTCAGATTTTCTAGTTTTTCAGGTTTTTCTAGTTTTTCTAGTTTTTCTAATTTTCTATATTTTCTAAAAAAACAAGAAAAACTAGAAAAACTAGTGAAAAATTAGAAAAACTTTTCTATCTTTTCAAAATTTTCTAGTTTTTCAGGTTTTTCTAGTTTTTCTAATTTTTCTAGTTTTTTTAGAAAATATAGAAAATTAGAAAAACTAGAAAAACTAGAAAAACCTGAAAAACTAGAAAATCTGAAAAACAGAAAAACTAGAAAAACTAGGAAAACTTTTCTATTTTTTCTAGTTTTTCTATTTTTTCTAGTTTTAGGGTAAACGTAGTTTATTCTTGCTATGTTAAAATATTTGTAGAATTAAACAATTTGAACAATTAACTCATATGTATGGGTTAAAAGGCAACCTTAGACATTTGTGAATCTTTTAAGCCACAGTACAGCCCTATTGGTGTGGTATTTTTGGAAAAAAAATTCAGTTTTTTTGAAATTTTTGAGATAGTTCGAAATTTTGGTTTTTGTAAATTTTGAGCTAGTTCGAAATTTTGTTTTTTTGTAAATTTTGACAATTTAAATGCCAGAAATGGGCAATTTTATCAGATATTCTGATTGCAGACAAAATTCTCTTGAGTTTGATCTAGTTTTGATCGGATTTAGTGCCAAAATTTAGAATTTAAGTAGGTATTAGTGTGTTATTTTCATTGTACATACCTTGGGTAAACCTAGTTTATTCTTGCTATGTAAAAATATTTGTACAATTAACACATATGTATGGGTTAAAAGGCAACCTAAGACATTTGTGATATTGGCATCAATTGTTGATCATTATACGGTGCAGTGTCAAATATTTATATTGATTATTGCATTATAGACAGTGTGTTAATCACTGATTGTATTCTACTTTGATATATATCACTAGATACCTATATAACTTATAATACCACATAGATGGTGCAGTAGGAATGTTATTGCTTTGTAAATTCATCAGTCATCAACCATATACCTCACCAATATCTTACAATATTTATTCCAATAATTTCCATCTAAAAAAAAAAATCAACCCCAAAACAGTTAACTCACAACATCAACCTAACGCCAGAGTTGTCAAAGTTATTTAACACATGTTATTTATTACATCTAGATAGTAGGGTAGTGTGTAATTAGTAACATGTTGATTATAAATACTAGTTAAGTAGGTAAACTGTATAGTATATATCTCAATCATCTCTACATAGTATAAAACAAATTCGTTTACCGCATCTGTGCACGATTTTCTCAGTAACTACAGAACGGATTTTATTCCGGTAATAGATAAAACGTTCCACGAGGAAGGTTTACCGTTTAGGTGCATAATAATTAATATATGAATACCTATTTTGTTGCAATTTTGTATTTATTAACCCAGGTGAAGCCGGGTACCGGGTAGTTAGTATATTTATAAACTATAATCAATGTAACTAATAAACAGAACTTTTTTTTTCTGACGGCCAAAATCCCAAAGTTATACATTCATAGTAATCATTTTTGTAAAACGATATAAAACTCATAACAAAATTTTTGTTTGTAAAAATTGTAGAGTTCTCAATTTTTATTAGTAATATATTTTTATTAGAAACAATATGTGAAGGAATTAACTTTTTCAAATTTTGACCCACTTGAGTATAAATTGCATATGATTTCAATTTTCAGATACATGCTTCTCGAGTAAATCAGGCCAGAGGAAAAATTAGTTGATATCTTGTTTGTAGAATAAAATAAAGTAGATTAAAAAACTAATCTAAAAATAACGTTTTTATGCGCTTTCAAAAGTATGAAATAACTTTTCGGGGGTCTTGATAACCAAGTAGGACAGGTGAACTAGAAAAACGTGTTTACTTATTACTACTATTATATTATGTATACTTATGAATTACTTAACATTACTGTGCTTAATTTTACATGCCATGTCATTAAGTATTATTTTATTTAGAAGAGAAAGGATGATTGTGCATGAATTATGAGTTAAGGTATATGATTAATGAGAAGAGAATGTTATTATATATTCAGACGTGTTAAGTAGTAAAGATGTGCCCCACGTTTTTCTAGTTCATCTGTCCTATTTGGTTATCAAGACCCCCGGAAAGTTATTTCATACTTTTTAAAGCGCATAAAAACGTTATTTTTAGATTAATTTTTTAATCTAATTTAGTTATTTTGTTCTTTTTCGTTTTCGTATGTACGTATCTATATATTTAAATGTACAATGTTATATAATGAATATACATATTGTTATACATATATTTTACATATAAATAATATTATTACAATATTATATAATAAAATCCGTCCATTTCGTCTGTGAGCGGTGATTACATTAGAAAAGGCTGCATGGTCAGAAGGATTATCATAATAATTAGTAATCAATTTAAAAGCTTATAATTTTAGATTTATTACTGTATAAATTATCATAAAAGTTGAAATCAAGTTGTAATTACTATATAAATTATCATAAAAGTTGTAAGAAAATGCAAAAAAGTGTAATGATGGGAACGGGTTTGAACCTGGTACCGCTCATATCTGAGCACCGTTCACGCCCAAACGCACCACGCATAATTTTTGCTGGCGGGTGAGAAATAAGTCTTTTTGAATTGCATAATTCCACCCGGACGACGGACAAGAAATTGATCCCATTTTAACCCCCTTAGGGGTGGAATTTTCAACCTCTTGTGGATAAATAATGCATTGTCATCAAATTGTGAGCTACCCTGAAAGTTTCAGCCGGATAGCTAATCGGGAAGTGCTCGAAATTTGAGTTGCAAGATTCCACCTGGAACGACAAACAAGATTGTGAGTTCATAAAAACGTTATAATAATAATTATAATAAAAACGTTATAATAATTATAAAAACACATATCATGGTAGAACCAATACTTTCTCAGCTCCGCATTGAAGCTAAGGAGCTGAAAAAATACAACTATAACAATTACATTTAATATCAAGAATGGAGGCAAGCTTCGTTTTTTAGTAGGTACGTGAACTTTACAAATGATTTTCTTGGTTTCATTTATTCTCTAACATAAAATATTTCAAACTTAACAATTTAATAATTGATAAATGATAATATTCGTTTATAATGTGCACATTGTATATATTATTAATGTGACCATTATTTTGATTATTTTTATGCAGCTCATGATTTTACTGTTAATACAAAGCGTACAATTTCCTAATTCTATTTACCGAATATATTAATATCCTGTAACCCATTAGGTACATTGCGTTACAGCGTTACAGCGTTTATATATTTTGTCTGTAACATATAAAACTAATAATTTATACTACACGTAACATTGTGTTCTGAATAATTAAAGATTATCATGGTATTAATATGATTAATTATATAAATGATGAGGACTTAAGAACAAACAAAAATATTTATCAAATTCGATAATATTTTAATGTATTTACAGGATATATTTTATGACAAAGTACAGTTGTAGTGTATAAACATAGTAGGTACACGGAAAAAAATATATAGTTGGACCAACTAAAATTATGGTAAATATAATCGGCCAACTAAATGTTTAGTTGGTCTAACTATATATTTTTTCTGTGTACTAAAATAACTTATTCCATTTACGGAATGGGCTGCAGCAAATGACACCATGCATTGGATTCGAATTCAAAAGTACTGAAAGTACATAACATTATACTAACACAGATTTTTGCTGTTATGTCTAATATAAGAAAACAAAAATATAGGACTTATGTTCAGACAGATTTTTTACGATAATCAGCTTAATAATAGAAAAGCGATTGTGGTTTATGTTATTCTACTGAGATTTTTTTCAACTCTAATTTTGGAACAATGGATTTATTCTTTGACATGAAAATATTAAGGCGGATAAGGTCTTGGTGGTGCGGGAGGATGCTGGTGATGATGGTATAGAGTGGACAGGCCGGCGGCCGACGTGGCCCAGTAAGAAGGTCCGGTGGGGAAAATGGCTGTCGGCGTGGACACTGGTTGTTGGCCATAGAGCCCGCCAAAATCCGGCGGGTTGGCTGCGTTCGAAGAAGAAGACGCCGCGGGCGACGGTGTGGAATGTGGTGGACCCACAGGAGAAGGCTGAGGAAGCTGTGGCTGACTCTGATGACAAGCGGTCATAAGACCATGGAAGTCAAACTTGTACGCGTACCGCTTGCCGTGAACTTTGGTCATGATGTTCTTGTCATAGTAATACCTGTACAAAAATAACACAAAAATTTAATCAAATATACACTAGTATATTGGTATATTATATAAGTACTGATGACGTGGAGATACTAATAGTGTCATTATAATAGTGATAAACTTTGGAATATTTGAATAAATCCCCATAGGCGCAACTAGACCTACATTTTAGGGGGTGCTAAAATTATGTATACAACAAAAATCCCCACCCCCCAACACATTAATTTCAAACCCATTGATAACATATTTTCGTAACACAACTTCATATAAGCGAAAAACTTGCGAGTTGCGTAGATGGCAGTTTAAAAGTAACTCTTAACGTAACCAAATACCCAGCATCAGTATATTGTTGAATAAACATAACTCTTACCTTTGAATCATTAGATATAGAATAAAATATTTGAAAACAAGAATATTCTAAAATATATAATATTTTTATTTTATTACGTTTTAAAAAATCAACTTATATCAACATAATTTTTCTCTTTTTCTCGGCATATTTGTTTAAAATGGTTTCTGTAGTTATTAAATTTAACAAGTCTCTTTCAATATTTGACAAAGCTAAATTTGAAAATTTTTGCTGTAGCATACTTGATCGTAACCAGTTTTTGATTCTCCGCATTGCCGAAAAACTTCGCTCGCAAGTAGCTGAAGTAACTGCTATTGTCATGGCAATTTGCATACATTTGTGTAAGTTTGGAAACGAATTTTTTTTTATTTTCTCTTTCACATCTTTTTGTGTAAAGTTAGTTGGTAGGCAGTTATTAACAACCATCATTACAGCTTTTAAAACATCAATATTTACACTTGAAATATCCTACCAAATACCCAAATCGTTAATGCCTATGACATTTTTTGACGTTCCCGATGAACAAGACACTCCTGGGTCATCCAAGTCTACGTTTTCATGTGTAGGTTTTTGTTTTTTAAAAATACTGAACATTTAAAAAAAATAATAAGTAATAAAGTCGTAGGTAAACGCAACATGCGGACACGGACACTTGAATGAGTACTCAACAGTCGACAGTCCACAAAATTAGATGTGATTAGATATTAATGTAATATTATGATTTGGCCGATAAGGCGATAAAATGTTTACATAAAACGCACAGAGGGTTTACCCGTAATATTGTAATCTACCACCGCGTATATCCATATAGTGCTTAATGATGTAACCCATTGGCTAAAAATAGCTCATAATTGTCGTGTGCACTCAATTTCTCGGTAATGTATATTTTATCGCTAATCATTCATGAGTTGCTGGGACTTTTGACCAAAATAGTGTTAATTATTTTTCAGTAAATATTTCATAGTTTAGAAACATAAAATTGATGGTATTTCAAAATAGTTGTAGTATGTATGATCTAAAAAAATCAAGAGGTGCTAAGGACCCTTTTGCACCCCCCTAGTTGCGCCAATATAAATCCCATCACTATTTTTTAAACATAGATAGAATAAAAAAACGTTCTGGCAGCTCAGTAAACTGAAAAAACTAAAAATCCAAAGCCAAGTAGAACCATGGGAAATTCTCCACTTGACCAATAGCTTTAAAAACAGCTGATTTCTGAGGCCATGCTAAATTAATTTTTTATGACTTTAAATATAATTCCAATTGTACTTAGAATATTCTACTAATCTTATTAATATTTTGACATTTTATGTCTTTACTTTGGCACACAATCGGAAAAATCGACAGTTTGTCGTCCAAATTATATTAGTAGTCATTAGCCAGTATCACAGAGTAAGTGCTTTATATTTAAAATACCTAACATACCTGAGTGCTCTGCTGAGCTTATCGTAGTTCATATTTGGTTTAGATTTGCGTTCTCCCCAACGCCTGGCTACCTCGTCTGGGTCTATGAGTTTGAACTCTCCGCCTGGCCCGTCCCAACAAATACATCCAACGTTATTCGAGTCAGCTAATAATTCTAATAGGAATTGCCACAGTTGTATCTGTCCAGATCCGGCAGTTGCTTGAGCCACCAATCGGCTACTGGCGGCATTAACCACTTCATAAGGATCTAAAACGTTTAAAAACAAAAATGTATAATAGTATGCTGGTATTCTTGGTAAACCAAGTCTCTTTATTATAATACGCGCCTAAGATAAATGATTGTAACGCCAAATGAACATTGTAAATACATGAGCAATGTACTACATTTTGTGTCTAAAAGAAGAAATAACAAGCTATAATTTTTTATCACAAATAAAAATTTCGTATAGGAGAATTCTATTTATTTATATTAACTTCACTTTGCACAAAGAATAATATATAATTATAGATAGATTTTTTTTAAAACCAATTTCACAAAGAACAACAGAACTAGAATAATTTAATCTTGGTGAAAGCAACTTGAGATACGAGTATAATACAATAATATATTTATATTATCATATTTTACATTTTTCTAGAGTTTTTTATAACACAAATATTCATAAAGAGCAACCCCTTTCTTATTAAATGCTAACATCGAATATCCTCTTTGGGTGTAGTATCTCATTCATGTAATATGTGACCTAATCTAATACTATTATGCCGATTTTGATTATATCATAAAACACTGTCTATTACTCTCTACGGGAGGGAACAGACCCTCCGGCTTCCCTTATTGTACACCTACCTAATCCTTTTTATTGTCCTAAAACAAACATTGACTCGTCATTCTTTTTGTACAAAGAGGAAAAATCATGCCGATGTGAATAGTAAAAAAAAAAATCGCGTTTTTTTTAATATTAGACTACGTTATTATGAATGTATCTATTGCCAATGCGTCTATATGCTGAGCTATATCCCTTAACACAAAAATTAAACACACTTTGTATGTGAAACACAAAAAATACTTGTTTTATTTTTAAAAATATTTTAATTTCCACTTATTCCCTTCTCATATTTTGGATTGATTTGGCGTTTGCATTTTGATCTTATTGTTGTGTTGTATAATATAAAAGTATTTTATTTTAGACTACCACAACACTTTTAGATTTTAGCCTAAGCTTTATCATATCACCTATATACTTTATATAAGTATATATTATCAACCGGTACTTATTCTCACTAAATGGTAAATATTTATCAACAAATACAATTGTAATGGTTTTTCTTAACAGTTAAGTTACTTAAGCAACTTATTTATTAATTGTGCTTTATACGAAACTAGTATAATATAAATGTGAAATTGTCTAAAATTATTAACATTGATATCCATGGGAAATTAATTCATCCATTCTATTGTTCAATTACTACATGATACATTTAAACAGAGTTTTAATTTTTCACATTTAGATTATCTACAGGGTGATACATTTGATGTAAGACATTCATTTTCTCAGAAAACATGAACATTTTAAAAATAATTTTTTTCCTTTACTTGTAGGTACCTATTTTACTATATTTTTCAATACGTTTTATTAGTCTGTTCGTTTGCATATAACTTTGCAAAGATATTACATTTCTTCTTATAATTATAAGAAATACCGAACGAATATTGATCTTAAACTCAAATCTTTACAATGCCATAGCAAACAAAGAGATTGGTAAAAATTAAAAATTTTAACTATAACACTTTTTAAATTATTTTATCTAAATATTTTTAGACTGTTTAACATGTTTCCATTTAAAAAAAAGAAAATCCATACTTATTTTACGTATAAGCAATGAAGACGAAAATTTTCTGAGTACTAAAAAATATAGTAAAATATTACAAATAAAAGTACAGGAAAAAAATAATTACCAAAATATTCATATTTTCCGAGAAAATAAGTGTCTTACATCAGATAGATCACTCGATATAACGCTACACATACAAAGTGTATTTTGGGTTTCTATCTTCGATGCGGAACTGAGAAAGTATCGTTTGTACAATGATTTATTTTTATTCTTTTTTGGTCTTTATGTACCAAGTCTATACAAGAAATTAAATTTTTGATCCAATAAAGTAGCTAAAATGTACTTTATTAAACTAACAATTCAAAAGTTTACCCCTTTCATTTAAAAATCGAGAAAACACCTAAAATACGTACTTACTTTTCTATTAAAAAATTACAGCGTGTTATAACTTTTTAAAAATAGTCGAATTAGTTAAATCTGTAGTCAAACTTTTTTAGGATGGAATATGCTTTAGCCTTGGCCCCCTCCCGAAAACGACACTAAATTACGTTACTAAAGTAACGCGCCTAAACGTATAATAACATAATATATAAGATACCATCAAAATAATAACAAGTCGTCGTTGTCCTGCAAACGTTTGGCCAGAACATACAATTAAGACTATACTTTCATCATAAATCGCAAGGAGATTATAGATCAGAAAAATCACAGTTCAGGAGCCAGCAGGCTAAAGCAAGTAGACTGTAACTTTTTTTTGTTAAGGACACCTTAAAAAAGCTAAAATTACTCCATGTCAGTATTACATTTTAAGTTTGAATAATTATTAAACAATTAACATGTATCAAAAATAAAAATGTTTCTTTATATCGTTAAGTACGATATATGGTTTAGAACAATAACACATTATTATAGACAAACGATCAACCCTAATCGTAATTCACCCTTAAAACTTAAAAGAGAATTTAAACACATTATTGCTATTACAATAATTTTTATCCATATTTTATGTATTTCTACCATCTACAGATTAGCATCGAAGCGTTGTATAAAAAGATTAAAGTTCTGAGTTATTATAAACTACAATTAATTCGAGATGAGTAAAAAAAAAATGTTTATCTTGTTTTTCAAATCATTTTTATAGTAATATACGAGATAAATGTATTTTAAAATTTAATTATGTATTATGTATTTGAATAAAAATAATTTTGGAATGAAATTGTATTACATATCATATAGAATATTATTTTATTGCATATTTTCGTCTTTTTGCGTATGTTTAATGGTAGATGTACTTTTAAGCTAAAACCTCAGTCAGTTTGTCAGAAAAATAAATTTAATGAGACATGATTTAGAACGAAATAAATTGGATTTACGTCCTCTCAAGAACGTCTGCGTAACAAACCGTTGTAGAAGAGTTGATGAGCCGAATGTCCGAAAGGTTTGGCCCGGTTGAGGGCGGTAGCCATCTGCAAGTGTCTCCTAAGATCATGCCGATCGCAAGCCGATAGCTGCCACATCTATTTGCGAGGGCGTCTGTTGTGTTATAATCACGTCCGCACGGTTTGCAGCATTTCTGGTTAGAAGGCCGGCGACAGCTGACGACGGTAGTGGTACGGCTGAGTCGACGTACTCGCGCCAAATGCAGACTCGGCCGGTCTCGAACACTTTGGCAACACTTTGGGTGCAAACAGCTTCGGTTTGGAAAAAAACGTTTTCCACACAGATTTTTCTTCGGCCGGCAAGTACGGTGAATGCACATCGATGATAGGCCGGAAACCCCATTTTTCCCCACGCCCCCGAGACACATCAGCGCCGCCCACACGAGGATTTTCCTGGCGGCAAAGTCTTGACGTTTATTAAGCGCCGTCGCAGCCAGTCCAAGTTGGTAATAACGCGCTCTTGGACATTTATTGTTAAGTCAAACCCAACGAGATTTTATTTTTTATTTTTAAACCATCCCTCGTCGTAATCCTATCGTCGTCGCTACGGCGATCATTAAGCTTTGGTTTATTATTAATTAATTCCATTATTTAGAAAGTAGATGTTACACTATAACAGATCTAACATTTTAACTTATGAGAATTGAAAGCAGACGGGTTTTAAGGAGTTTTATATAGGAAATGTTTAAGAAAAATGGGTTTTAAATTTTTAATCAATTTTGACTATATCAATTTATGAACAGATTAATTTGTATAAGCTTCGAGTTATTATTTTTAACTTTACAATTTTTTAAATGAGTAAACGCCTTTTTGGTAGCATTTTAGACCTAAAAGCCTGACAAAATTACGACTATTTTATAAGGTTAAATACTGTAATTCTATAAAGAGATCCGAGTTCTTTAAACTATTTTACTAGGTTAAAGAAAACCGTTTTTTATTTTAAAAAAATTAGTTACTTGTATAGTTTATTAAATAAATTAAATTTTTTTTTCAATATTAAAAAACTATTTTCTTATATAAAAAAAGCTAAAAACAAAATATGTTTTCTACACAACCTAGTAAAGCAGACAAAAACCTCGTATATCTTTACAGAATGGAAATCGGACCATCTTAAGTAGTCGACATTTTGTCAGGCTTTTGATCTAAAACGTCAAAAAATACTACTGCTTTCAATTCCCTTCACACAATTATTAGGGACATACTTCATTTGTAGAAATATACATATTACATACAATACTTTAAATTACTAATAAATATAATACTAATATAATACTTAATTACTTTTAATTTTTTTAAATATATTACTTTATAACTACCTAGTACTGTGTTCAATTTTTAAGTTATTATGCATATTATATTAAACGAGAAATTACATTTAAAAAAAATAGAAATTAATTTTCCCCATCTGTATTCAAACTTTTAAGAATTAATAGTGATTTTTCAAATAGAATAGATAATAACAGAATAAAACTATAACCAAATGACGAATTATACATTTACAAATATAATGGCCATGAGTGAGCACCCTAAACAAACGGAAAAAATAAAACCTTCATGCCCACCAAATAATTTATAATATAATAATATTATATAGAATTTTAATTCATCAGCGTACTTGGGCGGATTGAGCTAATTTGGGCGGAGTTGACACGGTGAATAAAAGTGTATTCAGTTGTATATATTATGCATTTGCAAAAATGATTGTGAAATTAGGTCCTAGGACAAAAATTATGGCCAAGTAGCGAATTGTCAGATTCTATTGTTGACTTTATTAAATTGTAATATCGACTAAACATAAAATATAATTAAGACAACTTTAATTGGTAAAATTTACATAAAAAGTGTTCAATTGAAAAAGGGAACTTTATAGACAACTATAAAAATGTTGTGCCCTATGTAACCCTAATAATAGTTCATTATACATTAGCAATATTTATTTTACTTGTGGAAACTGTGTAGTTATATGTATTAGGATTGGAACCGCGATAATTCGAATTTAAAAAAAAATCGTGATTATTAATTTTAGGTACATTTTGTAGATAACATTGGGGCTACAATAATTAAAAACAAAAGTTCAGAATTAAATTCGGAATTAATAACTATTTAACTCCATCAAGTATTTTATCCAAAACAAATACTTAATATAGTTTTGAAAATAGATAGACCTTTGTATGAAGTTTTTCGGTTTATACATTTCGTCTATTACTTATACACAAATCGCTCTACACAAATTAAAACTTGAATATTTCATTAACCTACAAATTTTTTTAAAATCAAGAATATAAATAAAGTATTAGTGTTGATCATTTTGCATTCAAATTATTACTGTTTTATAGTATAGACATGAGTGTTTAATTAATTATTATTTTTTTTAGGGTGTTTCGGGCTCTAAGACTAGCACTCCTAACAAATTCAATCTTTCCCTATTATCTGCCACGCCTCTCCATTTTTGCCTAGTTTCACAACTTTAACATAACTATTAATATAAAGTATTCTCATCATAAGCGTAGCCTGTCTAAGGGTTTTTTTCTAGTCGAGACATCTTTAATAACCGTTTTTATCAATGAACCATATTTTCTCTAAGTAGTTCCAGCCCACATTAGTGTTCTTTTAGACATTTCTTTTATTGTTTCCGGTCATTGAAGTAAGTTCCTCAATAATTATTAACGTTACGTATAACGTTTTCTATTATTTCGTGCAAATGCTGAGTGACGGTAACACCAAGTCTTTTTATCAGCAATGTGTACGCTTATAGTGTGAAAGTTCGTTTTCAGTGTAGTTTAAGAATAATGATTTTCTCGAAAGGGTTTCAGTATGTGATGTTGAGAATAGTATGTAATGGGTAAAACCAAATCAAAAAGGGTATTTGATTAAAAGAGGTCATTTTTAACAAAAAGACTGATGTTATCCGGCACACGAATGCGCTAGGGTTAAAATTGTTATCGGGTCTCCTGGGTGTTGACCGTAGGTTTTTTCTCTTTTCTCGTGTTTATCCTTTTTCTTATTTTACCAACGTCCACTGCAACTCTCATAGAGGTTATTTTAAGTGTAAATACGTTTCCGGTCGCCAAATGTTTTCCGTATCGACGCAACCATCGCCCGATTCGTATTCGGGGCATTAAGAACTACCATAATAAATATTTCGCCATTAACCGCGACCGGAATAAAAACCGAATCCCTACATTAAGTATACACCGCTTTGTTCGTTGCATCGTTAGGCCCTATTCCGCCGGGAAGTCTGTTTTTTTTGAATCAGTATCCGTACACTATTTAAGTCCGCCAGATATACTATTGGAAAACACCAAGAGCCGTCATATTAGGCTGAAATGTTCTTTGGTCGAGAGCAATAAGTATGACCTATTAACCGGGTTGGTATATCTAAAAAAAATGTTTTTCTATGGAGCTGGTAAAGAAAGTATGGCCCAACTACTGACCGTCAAAATGATGTATTACAATGGTTTTCGTGACAAAACGTACCGAAATTCAAATGAAACGTATTACTTTTCGTAACGGCTTCGAATAGTAAGTTGATATAATTACATCAATTTGAGTGCGATACCAGTTTATAGTGTCAACTCGGTTCGTCGGTAGCATTTTCATATATCGATTTATCTTATTTATTTAAATGGTGTTATTGTCATTTATTACACAGCTATTAAAGTATGGATAAAACAAAATATACATTAAAAATAAAAACATATGAACATAAAAATAAATTTCAATCGAATTGAATTCCGTACTAATCTGATTATCCGGATTCATAGGTTTTTAATTTTAATTTGTTTACGCCTAAAATTCGTGTAAGTGACGAAATCCAAAAGCACTGTTAATGTTAGAGATATAGGCGAAGATTTGATTATTTTTTTAGACTGGCTTGGCAATGGCAATGGCTTCACATCCCCTCATCATTATTTTGATGAATGATGAAATAATTTGGGGAGTCTAAGCCCCCCAAACCCCCCAACACCCCCAATCTCCGCCTATGATTAGAGATGGAATTGAAATATATCCGTCAAATCTAGATAATTCGGACAGAAAGACGGATTCCTATTACTAAATTTCTTATTTCATAATTTGATTAAAATAAAAAAATAATTTTAGTGGAGAGTGGCCATAGTAAATGAACTCAAGTCTAAAAATTAGAATACCATGTCAGCGAGACCACTAATTATTGTAACAGATTAATTTAATTACTGATAATTTTTTGGTGTCAAGTAATTGTTGATAAAAAAAAACGGTAAATTAACTACTCACTATTTAATAAAAGGTCAATGATAAAACAATAAAATGATCGAAATTGCCGGCAGATCTCATCTCATCTCGGTTTTAACGATGCAAAATTTACCTACATACACACAGCCGCACTGAGGTCACACACCAGGGACATATTATTATACAATGTGGGGCGCACGCGCTTGCTTATATTGTAATTTGATTTAGGAATAAGGACGCATTCGGTGTAGGATATAGTACAAGGGGGCGAAATAATAATGACAGTCGACGACGGGGGTCTAAGCTGACGTTATTAAATCGTTTTCTCCGGGCGGCGACTGAGTCCTTGTCTCGAGAGCTTTACATAATATACGGGACGCATCGTTCTCAGGCTTATTATATGTATATAATATATATAAAATGTGTGATATACGTGTTTATATGTATATAGATAAATATAATATGAAACATTTATTAAAACGCCAACAACCCGTGGGGGTCGACGACGCGACGTTTTCTTTTAACGCTAAAAGAGAGAATCTTCGCTTCTGTACGGGAGGTGCTCATTTTTCACTAGCATCTCATCTAATAATGTGATCACAAAATTATGACATTTTTTTTTAAATCCAAACGCACAACAGCATAGTATAAACTTCATTTGAGCCGCTTTATTACGTATGCCCACTAATAAAGCGCTGTCTAAAGGCTATAGACGCGCGTTCTTGGAGACTTTTAGTAACGTTTTCATTACTCAAAAAAATAAATATACTTTGAAATTCGGATTCTCATTCAATCACCTCAACATATAATAGGTGTCTATAACGAGTGTAATGCTTTCTGATGTGGAATCGAATCAATAATATGTCTTACATTATACACACACAAAATAATCGAAAACCCTGATTTCTCTTTTTAAGAAAACATAAATAATATTGAAGTTCTTAGTTCTAATACTATACTTTATGTAAATATAACTATAT